AAAAAAAAAAAAAAAAAAAAAAAAAAAAAAAAAAAAAAAAAAAAAAAAAAAAGAAAAGAAAGAAAGAAGGGGTAACTCGCCCAACCCCCCCCCCCCCCGGCCCCCCCTGCCCCCAACCAAAAAAAAAAAAAAACCTGCACGGAGCAACAGAAGGTCAGTGATACCTCCAGTTATACTATAGGGCCTTCCTCGCGGCACCAGTCATTGGAAATGAATAATGGCGGTGCATCTTTTCATATTGCACGGGAAGATTCATTCTCATTTTGCACAGTTGGGTGAGCTGTGCGGCGAGGCCCATACACACACACAACAGAAGGTCAGTTCTTTTTTTTCAAGAACTCCTTCGACAAAGCAAGTTCACCGATCTGAAAGAAAAGGGAATATTGCATCTGTAACCTTCTTAAAGATGGGAATACCCGCTATACCCACCCAGTCCCAGCGCCCAACTTGCATCTATACCCCCGGCCCCCCTTCACGCAATTCAACTTTGCAGAGTACCCGACTTTTCCTCCAGACTGAGTGCGAAATTGTAGGCATACCCTGTCCCGCAGGCCCTCAGTTCCAGGCACCATAATTATGCCCATGCCCAGAAACGGTCTGGCAAAATTGCGGGTGTACCCACAGCCAGGGCCGGGCCTTGGATGGCAGACCACAAAATTATGCGCAAAAAAAAAAAAAAAAAAAAAAAAAAAAAAAAAAAGAAAGCTCATGCCCACCACGTGGACCGTTGCGGCCCAGCGGCTGCTGCTGGGTCTGAGCATAATTTCAGCCATCCGGTAGAAGGGTATATGCACAGGTAGAAGGGTATATGCACAATTTGGCCAGTCCACCTCAGTCCCGGGTATGCCCTTAATTTTGCCTGGGTATGTCCGTAATTTGTGCATTCCGGTAGTTGGTTATGACTGCAATTTTGAGGCACCGAACTGGGTCCACCTCAGTCCTGGCATGCAAATACTAAATTTCCACTGGCAGTTTTCCGGGTATAGGTGCAAGTTGGCGCTGCGACTGGGTATCGCGGGAATTCCCATCTTTATGTGGGGTACAGATGCAATTTTCCCGCAAGAAAAAGATTCCCGGCCCGCCGGGTGAAAAAAAAAAAAAAAAGATTCGCAAAAATGCGGTGTCGTGCAGCGTGGCCTCATTCCTTTTGTT